CACCGAGATATTCAAGATATCATGTATCAGAACCACCACGGACTTAAAGCACAGCCAGCCTCCTGAATCCTTGTGCAGGGTGCGATAAGTAGTACGTGGGCGAAACTGAATTTGATCTTGAACTCAGATTTCAGAAACCGAAATATGCATGCAAAATTCATAATGCAACTAACGCATGAGCTATAGAGACAAACACACACACCTCATGGCTTGGAACAAATCCAAACTCATCTTAACGAAAGACAATGGCGTCAGAAGGAAGTGCCTGGATGCTGCAGCCATTAGAATACTAAACACCATCGAAAAGAATCAAGATGCTTTCATACTAGCAAAATATTTTACACACCTACTGCTTTATCTTTCCCACTCAAGACCCTGCTCACATGAGGCCACCTGTGACCTCCTGGTTCCCCTACTTCGCTGCATGTGTCATATGTAACCTTTAGCTTCACCTCTTCATTTCACCTCCCCACTTCACTTTAAGTAGGTTTTAGGTTTTGTTGTAGACTTGAAGCTCAGTCATAAGCGAAACATCGACTGAAATAAAGGTTTGATCTGTATTATATGTCTTAATACCCATGAGTTTTAAAATATAATTAAGTCAGAGGCTGCAAAATCATTGATACTCAGCACCAGTAAGCCAGGAGTTGCTTAATCACACATACTCAGGTCAAGTAAGCCAGCGGATTTTTAATGAAAGAAGATCATTATGTTTACATTAGCCCTAAATTTCACAAGTAGCGCAGTTCAATATTTATTATACAGGAGTCAACAAAAGAAGCCCAGTTCGCTACTTGTAGTACAATCTGGCAACACTTGTGTAGCATAAGCTCATTTCATTATTATTATTATTATAATCAAGGGGGAAGCCCTAAACCCGGAGGATTATACAGCGCCTGGGGGGGGGGGGTGGATGTGGAAGGCATTCAGGCTTAATTCGGGGAACTGGAGCACAGATCCAATTCCCTAAATCAAGAGCCCCTCACGAACATCAAGGAACCTTCCTTGAGGGGTAAGCTCATTTCAGCACAGGTGAAAATGCACCTTTAATTAATTAATGCCCCTGGTGCAGTAGACAGGCTTTAAACCTAACATACCAACGGTAGAGAGAAACAGTGTAAAATTCCGACACAATGGAAACAAAGGCATAAATGCAATCTAATAAAATCCTCTAATGACAACTTTTCGCCTACGCAGTCGACTTTTTCCAAGTGACTGATACTGGCTTACCAATACTTGTTGCAGTGACCTGAGAGCTTAAGGAAAATATACCTGCCGATTCAGTGCCGAGATAAGTTAAATGTATTTACAAATCATGGTAAATAAATACTTGGCCTAACATTTTAATGAATATATAAACTGTACATAATAACGATATTATGCACATATAAGGTTAGAATTAATAAAAAGTAGTTGTTATAACACTTTTATGTCGTTGAAAAAGTAATTCTGATTATGAATAGTAATCTTAGAGGCTGATGATCCAGTATATCCCATAAAAAACTTAAAGTGTTATTTTAAATTTACATCCTTGCTGGGTTATCTCTGAGGATGAAAGGTGTAAAATACTGACACGAAGGAAAAATTAAACTCAAATGCAGTGTAATGCAATCTTTTGTTGACTACGTTTCGCCCACACAGTGAGCTTTATCAAGTTATAAACATAGTCATTAAAGTGCATTATACAACATTTGTGTTTAATTTTTCTAGCTCCTCTCCACTATGTGGTTCATAACATTCAATTTATTAATAGGTAACTACTCCTGGGTAACAGGGGCAGCAGGTGTTAAATATACTCATTAATCTCAATCTTAGGAATTTACACATTATTTCACAGTGCTGCTTGCAGTAAATATGTTTACGCCTCCGATAAATGCCTTTATTTGCATAAAATATTCTTAAAATATGAAACCAAAGAATGCACTATTAATATAAACTAGGAAAATCTCTATATACTTAAAAATGACACTCATCTGGTGAGGAAAATATCGCCGTATTTCACGGTATTGAAGGACCTGGGTTCTAACCCGAGACAAATGGAAGCGTTGGGTATATTTCCTGACACTTGTTGCCCGTGTTCATCTAGCAGTATATAGTTGTTTTTTATTTAGTGTTAATTCATAATTTTAAACTTTTACAATGACTTACATAGAAAATTATTTAGAATTTGACCAAAGATAATCCCGTAAATGTATGGAGTGTGACTTATTTCCAGCTTGGTCCTCGAGTTACACATTTATTTTTTATATAGGTATTTAGAGATGCCGTTGTATTCTCTTCCCTTAGTGATAATAATAAAAATAAATAAAAAATAAATACATAAACAATTTATGCACATTTTAATAACAAAAGAAATATATTAATAGTATTAGGAATCACTTTCTCTCTGCAGCTTCAGTCATTATATTCTTTGACTCTTTTCTTAAATTGTTGTATATTTAGACTGGCTTGGACATAATAAGAGTCTACTTTGCCTGTTACAAATGAGTGTTCACTTCCTCTAGTACCACAATGGCATATGTTCCTAACCTTTATAAAATTTGCTCTATGATACCCTGGACACTGAAAGAAATAACCGAGTTTCACCTGCTCTACTATCTGACAGTTACAGTAGGTCACTGAACTGCATCTTCGAATGCCCACTTCCTCTCTACTCTCACAGAAAGCTAGACCTGACATTAAATTAATGATTATAAAATTAAAATCAGCTACTCTGGTACGCTGATGTTTAGTGGACTGCATGAGATTAGGGTTGCTGGGAACAACAAATATAATTGGTATTAGCACTTACCATTTAATTCCTGGAAGACAATGCTGATGGAACGCACCCTAACCTAACCCCTGGCAGCTAGAATTTACGATGGCCAACACAAAAACTACTGTTCATTATGGGTAATCGTCACTTAGCTACGGTGCGTTGTTGAGAAGGATTCATTGAAGTCCTCTACTTTCGTACTCCACATGCAATTCTTGCCGTCCCGCAAATTTCCTGTCCCAGTTCTTCAGCAGGAACGTGTCAACAATTTCTAAATTACTAAATGAGGCCGATACACCCCATTAGGCCTCCAAGAACCCCTGCTTACTAGCAGAATTTCCCACTACAACCAGTGTTCACAAACTGCAGATGGCGTCTCCCCGGCGTCCCTACTGGCTGTTCCACCCCCCCCC